TGTTCTTTTTCAACATTGTCCTGGAATTTCTAGCTAATAAGGAAATGAACGAAGTATTGTAACTGGGGAGGAAGAAAACATTTTTCAGAGATGATAGGATTGTCTCTGTGGGAAATCCGAAAGCATTGACAGAAGTTATGGAATTAGTGGACAGCAATGGAAAAGCTGCAGGATACTAAGCCAATAAACAAAAGTCCATTGCTTTCCTTTGTACCATCATAAACGTGTAATTTGAAAATATAAATATATTACTGTTTAGCAACCCCCAAAATGATACTTGGGCATAAATCAAACAAAATGTACAAAACTTTTATGAGGAAAACTGTAAAACTCTGAGAGACTTCAAAGAACTATATAAATGGAGAGCTGTCCTCTGTTTGTGGATAGGAAGACTCAAAGTTGTCAAGATGTAAATTCTCCTCAACATGATCTACAGATCTGATGCAACCCCTATAAAAACCTCAGCAACTTATTTTGTACTATTGACAAACTTATTCTAAAGTTGATTTGAAGAGGCACATGACCTAGAATAGCTAACACAATATTGAAAGCAAAGAATAAAGTTAGAGGACTGACAACTACTTGACTGTTAGTTACTGTAAAGCTACAGGAATTGTGGCTGTGTGGTACTGGCTTAAAGAATAGATAAATGGATCAATTGAATGAAATACTCCAGAAATAGAAACACATAAATATAATCAATTGGTCTCTGGCAGAAAAGCAAATGCAATACAATGTAGCAAAGATTTGCTGTCTTTTCAACCAAATGCTGGAACAACTAGACAACCACATAACAAAAATGAATCTAGGCATACACTTTCAACCTGTTACAACCATTAACTCAAAATGGATCAGACCAAAATATAAAACATAAAATGCAAATGCAAAGTGACAGTCATTTTATAAGACAGTTTGGCAGCATCTTACAAAACATACTGTTATCATAAGACCCAAATAGGTTATGTCCACATTAAAAACCTGCACATGGGCTGGGCACAGTGGCTCACACTTGTAATCCCATCACTTTGGAAGGCCGAAGTAGGTGGATCACGAGGTCAGCAGTTAAAGACCAGCCTGGTCAACATGGTCAAACCCCATCTCTAATAAAAATACAAAAATTAGCTGGGCATGGTGGCCCGTGCCTGTAATCCCAGCTACTCGTGAGGCTGAAGCAGGAGAATTGCTTGAACTGGGACACGGGAGGTAGAGTTTGCAGTAAGCTGAGATTGTGCCACTATACTGCAGCCTAGGCTACAGAGTGAGACTATGTCTCAAAAAAAACAAAAAAAAAACAGAAAACAAAACAAAAAAAGTGCACATGAATGTTTATAGCAGCTGTAGTCATAATTGCCAAACTGGAACCAACATAGATAGCTTAGGTAGGGGATAAACTGTGGTACATCGAGATGATGAAATACTATTCACTCCTTAAAGGAAATTAGCTATAAAGTCACCAAATTTATGGAAGGAATTTAAATGTATGCTTTGGTGTGCAAGAATCCAATGTAAAAAGACCAAATATTCTATGATTACAGCTATGAATTTCTGGAAAAGACAAACTATGGAGGCATTAAAAGAATGAGTGGTAGCAAAGGGTTGGGGGGCAGGCGGTATGTGGAGGTGGTACACAGAAATTTCGCTGTAGTGAAACTATATGATAACTACAGTGATAGATGTATGTCATTGTATTACAGCTATGAATTTCTGGAAAGGACAAACTGGAGGCGTTAAAAGGATGAGTGGTTGCAAGGGGTTGGGGGGCAGGAAATATGTATAGGTGGTACACAGAAATTTCATTGTAATGAAACTATTCTGTATGATAACTACAGAGATGGATGTATATCACTGCACATTTTTGAAAACTCAGAATGTATAATACTATGCATGGATCGTAATGTAAACTCTGGCCTTCGAATGATAAAGATGTGTCAGTGGTTCACAAGGTTTCAGTAGTAGGAGAGGTCGTGTGTATGTGGGGGCTCAAAGGTATATAGCAGTCATTTCCTTTTGCTCCATTTTGCTGTTAACCTAATACTTAAAGTCTTAAAAATGTTTAGGAAAGAAAACAATGCATGGGTAATAAAATTTCTTTGAGACTTTGGATGTAAGGAAAAGTTCATATTCTGCCCTCAAATTTGATAGCTCTCCTGGGAGTAGAATTCTTTGTTTAAAATCATTAACCTAAGAATTGTGAATAATTTGCTTCTTCTAAATTTTATTGTTTCTTTGAAGTCCCAGCTTATTTGGATTATAGCTTGTTAGAGAATTTTTGTAAATGGGTTTGGCATATTTTCACCCATTAGCTCATACTCTCTAATTTCTCTTAATCTGGAAATTCAGTGTTTTCTATTTTTTGGAATATCTTGAATTACTTAGTTTTCCTCTTTTCCTGAAATTTCAATCTTTTTATTTGGATATTTGACTTTGCTGATGAGTTATACAGCTCTTTCATTTTCTACCTTTTTAAAATATTACCCTGTCACTTATTTCAGATTCTTTATTTTCCTAGATCCATAGTTTTTTAAAAACTACAGTTTCAGTCTCCTCAAGTGCTTTATTATTTTTTTTTCTATTTTGATCTTTCATGTTACAATCGTTTCTTGAGTGACAGTTAAATGTGGGTTTTCTGCTCATGTTTAACTAGGGTCTGGTTATACTTGGTAAGTTTTCTATGTGGGGTGTGTTGACTGCACTTCTCTGTAAAATGACTGGGCTTGACCTGGCTTTTTGGGGGAATCTCTGATAAGTGTCCTTAGGGCTTTTGCCTGGGCAGAAGCCTGTTTGACACTATTTGGGGGGCCAAATTTGGGGAGGCAGATGGTTTTTAGTGTCTGTATGTTTGCATATATGTTTCTCATGTGATCATTGATATCATTATAACTATCAAATCCTCTCATGGTGAATCACAAATGTCAAAACATTTTGTGCAATACCCTCTGTAATTCGTTAACTTTCTTGACTAAAATCATCTTGCTAGTTGCTTTGTATTTGTACCACCTGTCCTTGGTTCTTTTTCTCACTTTTCTATTGGCCTTTGGATTAATTTACCATGTTAAATGATTTCATTTTATCACCACTATTGGTTTCCTTCAAATAATCTCCTTCAAGTAATCGCCTTCAAATAATATTAGTTTATGGGCACCTAATAGGAGGTAACAAGAGAGGAGCCTGTTAAGTGTTTATGAACTCGTTTTGCAATTGGTGGCACTATAGCTGGGAACACAGCATCAAGTATGTTTCACACCACTATCTGAGATAGGAAGGAAGTGCCTTTTTCTATGCACTCCTTTCAATATGGCAATTGTGAGTACTTTTAAGGCAATCCAGGGATGTGTTTGATTTTTTGCCCCTCTGGAGTGAGTAAGAGTTAAGGTTATTGCTAGTCATTTTAAAGATTTAACCATGTGTTAAACAGAACTTTGTTTATTGTACATACATCTCAATCACAAACTACAAAAGAAAGGTTTACCAAGCTCATCTCAACTTACTTGAATGTAACCAGTGTTCATAATAGTCTTTTTAAAATACCTAGATATGTTATTTTATGAAGTATATAAAAATAGAAGATACAAACTGGGACTATTCTGATCAAATTAAGATTCTCTGTATATCTGGTCATATTTTGTTCACTGATTTTACAAATCACTAGTTAGAATTTTGTAACCTTCAGTATAATAAAATAGCTCTGGCAAGGGGTGCTTGATGTCATACTAGTATTTGTTGCCTTCTTGCAATCCTTACATGGATATTCTGTCTAAAATAAGTCTCAGCTGGATGTGATGGCTCACACTTGTAATCCCAGCACTTTGGGAGGCTGAGGTGAACAGATCACCTGAGCTCAGGACTTTGAAACCAGCCTGGACAACATGGTGAAACCCCATCTCAACTGAAATACAGAAACTTAGCTGGGTGTGGTGGTGGGCCCCTATAATCCCAGCTGCTAGGAAGGCTAAGGCAGGAGTATTACTTGAACTCTGGAGGTAGAGGTTGCAGTGAGCTGAGATGGTGCCACTATACTTCAGTCTGGGTGACAGAGCAAGATTCTGTCTCAAAAGAAGAAAGAAAAACAATGTAAGTCTACTAAATGACTCAAACCTCTGTAACTTTGCGTGGCACCTTTTGATTTAAACATAATCCCCTTGTCTAGTTTTATTCTGCTGTTAGATGGAGATCAAGCCATTTCCTCTGATACGCCTTCCTGTTGCCCTCACATAGAATTAAGTATTTTATCTACTGAGTTACCTCTATACATTCTTCTAGTGCTGCATCTATCAGGTTTTGTTGCAGACTGCTCTGTTAGATATCAGCCTCCCCTTCTAGACCTGAGTTCTTTGAGGGCACAATATATGTGTGATTTATCTTTATATGTCTAGTGCTTAAAATAGAACTTGGAGACAGGATAGGTACCCTGAGTATTGTTCAGCTGAATTGTATTGTTACTTGGATATTTTAATGACTCTGCTTAAAATGCCAAAAAATGTTTTATTTATTTTTACTGAATTTTTGTGGTACCTTTACACTTTGTTTCACAATGAAATACTAAATGTTCCATACATATAAGCAAAATGTAAATAATTAAAAAGGATATATTGATATTTTAAATATTAAAACAATAGAACTATGACCTGAAAATGTTCTGATACAAATACAAGATATGAGATTGAGATGTTGTAGATATATATTTATCAACAGTTATGATAATCCTCAGCTATAACTTCAGATACTTTATAAACATGTTTGGAAATATATGCAAAGGAAACAAAGTGTTCTATCTATTTTATACCTAAAACTATAGAGGAATCTTGAAACTCAAATGAGGATTGCAGTATTCCTGCTCACAATTTGTTTTGCTTTTAGCTATTGGGGATGTTATAACTCAACCAGTAGCTGATTAAATAGCTTGAGCTCTCTAGGCTCTTCCTTTGATTGCAGTTGATTAGGAAATAAAAGGCTGAGTTTTACTAAAATTGTTTTAGCTTAATTTTTTTTTTCTACACCAGTGTAGTGACTATGACTTGGAATTTGGAACTGAGTGTTTGCAGTTGGCCCTAAAATACTGTTGCACTAAAGCCAAACTTGTAGAAGGATCACCTGACCTCTGGAAGGTAAGAGGAATGATACTTTGCTTGGGTTCTTTGCTGAGCTTTTATGTGTTTGCATGGGTATACATTTAAAACTGGTAGTGCATTTAGTGGGAGTTATAGGAGTCTTATGGATTTACTGAAACATCAAATTGTATTATCCTTTCTGCTTGGCTTCAAGAAAATTCACTTTGAGATAATTTACTCAGACACATCTCATTTTAGCCTGTGAGGTTGGTTTATTCACTTTTTCTTTATCTTGCTCTCTATAGATAGGTGTATTAGTCTGTTCTTACACTGATATAAAGAAATACCTGATATTGGTAATGTATAAAGAAAAGAGCTCATAGTTCTGCAGGCTGTACAGGAAGCATAGCAACTTCTGCTTCTTGGGAGGCCTCAGGAGGCTTCCAATCATGGCAGAAGGCAAAGGGGGAGTGAGACATTTCAAGTGGCCAGAGTAGGTGGACAGAGGCTTGGGGGTGGGTACCCACACAATTTTAAATGACCAGATCTCTGAGAACTCACTCACTATTATGAGAACAGCACCAAGGCAGAAATCTGTCCCCGTGATCCAGTCAGCTTCCACCATGTCCCACCTCCATTGTTAGAGATTACTATTCCACATGAGATTTGGTTGGGGACAGAAATCCAAACCATGTCAGTAGCCTTTTTTCCGCCTTCCTTCACTGAGTTGGATTAACGCTACAACTTGGCCCACCAATTGCAAGTAGCAACATTTCTTTCCAGGCCCTGGGTGGTTGCTCCAACTTAATTGGGTTGAAAGGGTATCTGCCACAGTTCTGGCTTAGTATCGGTAGTGGCTGGATCCACTTTCTGCCCCACTGTGAGGAATTACACTGTTTCCTGTGGCAGGGCCCAGCTCTTCTAATGGCTTTTTTTTTTTTTCCTCCTGCTTGCCCAGGCTGGAATGCAATGGTGCAGTCTCAGCTCACTGCATCCTCTGCCTCCTGGTTTCAAGCTATTCTACTGTGTCAGCCTCCCAAGTAGCTGGGATTACAGGTGCTAGCCACCATACCTGGCTAATTTTTGTATGTTTAGTGGAGATGCAGTTTCACCATGGTGGCCAGGCTGGTCTCATACTCCTGACCTCAGGCAATTCGCCTGCGTCTGCTTCTCAAAGTCCAGAGGATACCAGTGTGAGCTACTGTGCCTGGCATAATGTACTCCATTTGGAGGGAATAGATAACGTATTGCCAAGAAGATAATGGGACTATCATACTGCAGCTTCATAGCAAGGCCAGGGATGGTTTAGAGTGTGATTCTTTGTTTCATTAGTTGAATAGTATATTTGGAAATAAGAGTTGTAAGGGCCATTTCTTAATCTTGAAATAAGTATTGCTGCTTTTGAGATAATGATTGTGGTCTTTGGAAATCTTTATAAAACATCCATCAGAATCTGATTAGTAAAGATTCATTCTGAGTCTATAAGCATATTTCCTTACTGATTTTTTAAAACAGAAACCCTTATAAGTTGATAGTTATTTTGCACAGTAATATGATCTGCCTCACTGCCTGCTATGATTGTCTCAGAATAATCTTAAATACTTCAAATGTTGAATTCTAAGACTCCAAAATATTGACATGTTTGGATTATTGCCTGGTAAAGAAAATTTATGCAGTATTACTGTTCACTTAAGGACAACCTAAAATGCCTACCTGCTGGGTTAACTGTCATCAACCTAGCAGGCAAACATTTTGTTCATCATTTTTACATATATATATCAATAGTGATACAAATATTTATCATTTTTGGCAATTTCCAATTAGATGCTTCATTAACGATTCTGACCCACATTTTTTGGAACCCCTTTGGCTGTCTGGCAGACCTAATTTGAAGACCAGGAAAAGATGTGGAAACTCTAAGGTGTTTTATTGCTACTAATATGTCAAACTAATAAGTACTCCCTGGTCTCACTTCTGACATCTTTGGGGCTGTGATTATTTATCTTTTGTGCATGTTCTGAGCCTTCCTGAAGTTTGTAAACCACTCTTGAGATCTGTGGATGAAAGGGAAGCAGCACATTACTCTCTGAATGTTTCATTCCATCTTCAGTGTTTTCTTTTGGGTGAGGTGTTCATATTTCTCTTTTCTCTCCAGCTTGGACTCTAAAAGGCCCGTCATGCTCTGGATTGGGGAAAATGTCTTACAGATTGACGTTATGAGGTTTTTTTGTTTGTTAATATCACATTTTTTTTCTGTTAAGTGATACCGGAATGCAAATACTGTGGTTGTTTTCAGCTTCCCTTTTTTTCTCTGCCTCTTGTCTCATCTTTGACTTGTCTTTTTCATAACTAATTATTTTCATAGTTAATCATTTAGCTAGAAATAGCTAAATATTTTCATAGCTAATTAACTCTTTTTTATGACATTGTATGATTTGTCTTTAGGCTTTTACTTTTAATTTTGTGGTCTTATTTTGTATGACAGCAGTATTTGTTTTACACAGCAATGGAGTTTACACTTTGAAATTAGTGTTCTAATTCTGCACTAACTCCAAAGATGCTGCTTTTTAAAAAAAAAATTGGATATGAAAAATTCTAATACAATTATGCTGAACTGGTACTCGATTCAGATGGCATGGCCAGGTACTTGGAACATGACTCAAAAATCTGACAGTAAAAGACACACTTGGACATAATTGAGGCATGTTATTACTATTGTACAGTGTAAAGCAAAGGAGAATTCCAAAATATGGAGCAATACACCTTCTCTTTCTCCTAAAAGTTAGGGATTTCACTTCACACTGGGTTAAAGAATGACTTGATATTTCTGAGGATTGCATGTCATACTAGAATTTCAGTAGTAGTAGAATTTCACTTGCCACCAGAAATTTGGGAAGGATTATTTTGGATTTTATTTGATTTAATTAATTCATTTTTTTTTAGATGGATTATTGCTCTGTTGCCAAGGCTGAAGGGCAGTGGCATGATCTTGGCTCACTGCCACCTGTGCCTTCTGGGTTCAAGTGATTCTCCTGCCTCACCATCCCAAATAGCTAGGACTACATGCGCATACCACTATGCCTGGCTAATTTTTGTATTTTTAGTAGAGACGGACTCTTGCCATGTTGACCAGGCTGGTCTGTATTTTGTATTTTATAAATATGTTTTGGTAAAAGTAAAAAATAAACATTCTGGGTTTGATGTCACCTTACTGGGCTATCTCTTCTGGGGTCTGGAGATACTAGTTTTTTTTTTGTTTTCCTTTCAAATCACCATGCAGTATAGAAAATGACTGCAGTATCCCGCTCTCCCCTTCAAGGATGATGAGCACTGAAGAACACAGGACTGGTGCTAGGAATAGGAATCAGCTGTCATGCTTCCCTGGAGTGGTCTTGCTTTGACAGGCCCAAGTAAACACTACTATTTTCATGAGCTTTCATCTAGTCTGCTTAACAACTTGAATCTCTTTAACTTAGTTATTTTTGGCCCCATATATTTTTAATTAGCTTGGTCTCTTACTACGCTGTACAGACTTAATTGAATGGACTTCTTGTTTCTAAATGTCAAAACTGTCTTCAAGCCATAAAAGATTAACAATCAGTTACGGAAGAAATTTAACCACTGTGTTCCATTGTCTAAAAGTGCTTTTTTAGGAGGTTCTGAAGTTTTTGTATAATCACAATATTACTGGAATGAATGACTTTTGAGGATTCCTTTTGTTGGGGGAATATATTTTTTTAGTTCCAAGTATTTTAGCATCTGTTTAAGAACAAAAGAAACAAAATAGTCTCTATTTGGTTTTTGTAACTTCAAAAACACAATGTGGTAACATTGTTTCTCTTTAGATATTTTTATATCGTTATCCAGTATTTTTATATAGGTATCCGGAAAAGAATATTTTCTGTATGTATATAATAAGGAAATAAGTTCTGAAATAAGTTACTTAATAAGCTTCCTGCTGTCTTTAAAATGCAAGTTTTGCTAAACATTCAAGTTGCCACTTTATTGTGAAGGGAAAGATGGGAGAACATTATTTGTTGTCTGTCTTAAGTTATTGAAGATAGTGGCCAACTGGCTGTGTTCTGATAGTTGTGGGATTTTTTTGTTTTTGTTTTTACTATTTTATGTTTCAACACAGAAAAACAACATGTGGATGTGATAGCTTCAGCCAGAGTGTACCTTGAAGTAGCTAAGAATCCTGGTCTAGGAATGAGAAAACAATTATATGTATAGATCTGAGTTTAGGATTCTTTTTCTATGGAACTTCTTTTTAAAGCTAAACATGTTACTCAGCTGAAAGAGCACACAGAAGCTCAGTCAAACAAAATAGAGAAAAATTGAGCTGACCTAGGTGAGTGCCAGGTGTTGGGTTGGAATTTCATCTGCACAGAACACTTTTCCTCTTCTTCAGGTGGTCCCTGAGGCTCTAGTGAGCACAGTCTAAAAACCAGCAAATCAGAGGATTGACATTCTTTATCTCACTACAGGATTGATTTTTTTAAAAGTAATTTTTCATAATAGGGTATTGTGGAAGGTCAAAGGAAGACTACTTATGCTAATAGAATAAAATGAATACTCATGATCAGGGTGTTGGGTTTTTTTTAAATTAAAATAAAGACAACCCATAGTGCTGTAAAATTTAGATGGAAAAAATGAATAACCCATCAACTGAGAATTACAACATTTTCCAGTCACACTGCTTTTGAAGCATGTCAGCTATGTAGGAAAAAAATAAGGCTTATGGGACTTTAAATGTTTATAAGATACGTTTTCTGTCACTTACTTACATTCAATCAGTATTTGTTGAGGCACAATTGAGGTATTCAACAAAGCTCCTTGTAAAATATGTTAATAGAAGTCAAATAAAAAAAAAAACCTTAGTGTATTGTAGATATCCGTAACCGATAGGAAAAAACTGACAGAAAAAAATTCAGGAGTCTTTCTTGTTTATACCAGTTAATTAACATTAAAAGAGAAAAAATCTCTGTGTAGTAATAAATGTATTTTATACCGAAGACTGACTCCATTGCAAAAATTAAATCTTGAATGTATTCTAGAAAAGTCATGTTAGAATCTGAGAACTTTTCTATAAATCCAGAAATCTATCATTAAAAACTGTTTGAATATGTAAGGTATATTCATATTCTATTTTAATGTAAAATGCAGTTTTACCCTTCAAAGCAGAAGGGAATAAAAAATTAACTAGGCATATTTCCTTAATTTCTGTTGTGAGTTTATCCTATGTAACAAAGTATTACTGTAGAAAAAAATTTCTCACATTGCAAATATTGAGGCCTAATTTCAGATACCTAGTTAACTTTACATATTCATTAAAAGAAATAAACACTAACTCTATTCAACTTTACAAGAAAATTTCTTAACTAAAATGAATCTCCACATGTTAAGCATTTTGGCTGAAGGGTGTGTCTGTCTGTCTGTGTGTCTCTCCCTCCCTCCCTCCCTCCCTCCCTCTCTCTCTCTCCCTCCCTCTCTCTCTCTCCCTCTCCCCCTCTCCCCGTCCCTCCCTCCCTCCCTCTTCCCCATTTCTCTCCCCCATTCCCAGCACTTAAAACAGAGTCCAGAACACACTAATGCTTTGATGAATTATTTGTTGAATAAATTACATAGTACATAACTTGATTTGTTAAAATGCATAGCATGGACCTTGAACTGTCTTATTTCTATCATTTTTCTTCCCCCATGTAGGAGAATTACATCATGGATCACTAACTAGGAGTCACTAGTTTTGGTTAGCATGTGCTTGCTCTAGAGATACGATAGCATTTCACATTTTAATAGATTGGTTGAATTGCTTGAACAACTTTTTATCTGTGTTATCAAATTAGTTGCTACTTTATTTCTGGATGGTGAGATACAGTTTAGGTCCAGGATTTACCTGCCAGGGTGAAGGCATAGCAGAGGAATCTATTTTGGATAGAAGTGCAGTAGCCCACATCACTAAACCAAGTTTCTGTACAAATCTTGTAGTTAGCTAATCTGGAGGATAAAAAGTCCAATTTCATAAGCACAGTCAGGTAATAATATGGTGGGAATTTCTCAAAATGGGTTTTTAGAAAACTTGCATCATAAATATCTTATACTTAAAAGTAGCACTAGAAGGACACATGCACACAAATGTTCATTGCAACACTGTTTACAATAGCAAAGACTTGGAACCAAACCAAATGCCCATTGATGATAGACTGGACAGGGAAAATGTGGCACATATACACCATGGAATACTATGCTACCGTGGAATACTATGCAGCCATAAAAAACAATGAGTTCGTGTCCTTTGTAGGGACATGGATGAACTGGGAAACCATCATTCTCAGCAAACTGACACAAGAACAGAAAATCAAACATCGCATGTTCTCACTCATAGGCAGGTGTTGAACAATGAGAACATGAGAACACATGGACACAGGGAGGGGAGAATCACACACTGGGGTCCATTGTGGGGAAACAGAGGAGGGACAGTAGGGGTTGGGAGTTGCGGGGAGAGAGCATGGGGAGAAATGCCTTATATAGGTGATGGGGAGAAGGCAGCAAATTACACTGCCACATGTGTACCTATGCAACAATCTTGCATGTTCTTCACATGTACCCCAAAACCTAAAATGCAATTAAAAAAAATTGCTCTCCAAAAAAGTAGCTTCTAAGAACTTACAAAAGCTTATTAATACTGTGTCATTATTTACTATGTATTATAGTTCTGTGATACAGAATTAATTATGCACCACATTGCACTTACATGTTCTGTACCTGAGCTCAGTGGATGGGAGTCTGAAGTATCTGCCATAGAAGAGACACACAATCTGGTGGCAGGTTACATTACAAGGAACAGATTACAGTTATTAAGAAGCTGCATGTTTTAAGGAAAGATTATCGCTGTTCTTAGGCACATAGGGATACACTATAGGCTCTATTTTAGCCACATTTTAATAAAAATCTTAGAAGGTAACTCTTACCTAGATATGTATAGATACACTCAGTTCAGAAGTAAGTTCCTCTTAACATATATTGATCTTTCAGAATTATTTCAGCTAAGAAAGCAATTCAGTGACTTTTCTGTTATACAGAGACTTCTACCCTACCTTTTTTTTTCTAGTATAAAACCTCATTATTATGCAGTCGTGTTAACACTGTTGTTTAAGCACTACCACATTTTCTTTGAATATAATACTTGAGTTACATTAAGATTTCAGTAACCACTGCCATATAATATCTCAGTTTATTCAGAGATGTAAAAACAAATCAACGATTTGTAGAAATAGAATATATTTTTATGTGAATTTGCTGATGCTTTTCTAATTTAGAAAATGTCCGTATTACGTTTATAGTTTGTGAAAAATCAAGAATGTCCTTGAGGGCATTATTTTATGGCTTGCACATTCCTTCCTGCTCTGCTAAGTCTAATGAAGTTTATCTGTCCTTTAGGTGACCTACAAACGTGATCTGTATGCGGCTGAATCGATTGTTAAGGGTATGTTTGGCCTTATGACTGTCAGTTCCTGTGTTTCAAAAATGTAAGCCAGTTCAGAATTTCTTATGACTGTTTAAACCCCAGCAATCTTAAAAGCAGAAAAGCTTGTAGGCCCCCAAGGTCTTTCATTTGTTTTTAAAAAATAATTATATTTTATGTTGTTTCCTGATGGTGAAATAGCACTTATTATGATGTCACATTCATTTTAATTTTTATGAAGGAAATACTTTATTAACTTGAGGAAAGTATAGGACATTGATACTCTTAGAAAGAAAACAGCAATAACTGATTTATATAATTTGGTAAATGTCTCACTTCAGTTTTACTTTTTTTGATGGAGTCTTGCTCTGTCACCCAGGCTGGAGTACAGTGGTGTGATCTTGGCTCACTGCAACCTCCACCTCCCAGATTCAAGCAATTCTCCTACATCAGCCTCCCAAGTAGGTAGGATTATAGGTGTGTGACACCATGCCCAGCTAATTTTTTGTATCTTTAGTGGACGGGGTTTTACCATCTTGGTCAGGCTCAAACTCCTGACCTTATGGTCTACCTGCCTCAACCTCCCAAAGTGCTGGGACTACAGGCATGAGCCACTGCTCCCAGCCCATTTTTACTATTAAGAGGACTGCGCTCTCCCCTTAACAGTGTTGTATTGGTACATAACATAGCATCTTCTATATGAGAAACACTGTTTTTCCTAACTAGATATATCAGGCTGGACAGGGTGATTTTTAAAGTTTTTTTTTGTATTGGACAATGACTGCAATTTTGTAATTGTAGATATCACACATGTGATAACCCTTTTTTAGTTCTTTTTCTTCTCTGACTCAAAGATCTCAGCTAAATAGAGGTAGTTTATTTAATAAGCAATAAGTATTTGTTATTTTGCTTAACACTATGCAAGGAATGTAATTAAGATATACTTAGGGACAGTCTTTGTATATTTTTGTAACCTGTTAATTAAATCAGCTTTCTCAGTCTTGGCACTCTATTGGCATTTTACTCTGGAAAATTCTAAGCTGTGCAGACTGTTGTGTGGATTACAAGTTGTTTAGTGGCATGCCTGGCCTCTGCACACAAGCTGCCAGAAGTATCCATCCCTCAGTCCCCTCCCTCTGGTTTTGACAATCAAAGATGTTTCCTGGTATTGCCAAACGTTCCCTAGGAAAAAGACATTTCCCCTAATGGAGAACCACTATTTTAAAGTATGTACTCATAGCAAAATCAGAGGTATTCACCCCAAACCTGAAATACATGTAATGCTTTACAATATGTTAGAAACTGATTTCTTTGAAAATACATTATGAGGCCGGTCGCTGTGGCTCACTCCTGAGCACAGCACTTTGGGAGGCCGAGGTGGGCGGATCACAAGGTCAAGAGATCGAGATCATCCTGGCCAACATGGTGAAACCCCGTCTCTACTAAAAATACAAAAAAATTAGCTGGGCGTGGTGGCAGGCGCCTGTAGTCCCAGCTACTCGGGAGGCTGAGGCAGGAGAATTGCTTGAACCTGGGAGGTAGAGGTTGCAGTGAGCTGAGGTCACGCCAGTGCACTCCAGCCTGGTGCTTGGTGAGGGAGCGAGACTCTGTCTCAAAAAAACAAAAACAAAAACAGAAAACAAAAAAAAGAAAATAGATTATGGCTGGAAGTATGTGCTCAGGTTTTCGTTGAGATAAACTTCTAAATTCAAACTCTTATCGAAATAGAAGAAAGTACTGAATCTGTATTCTGAGTTCATCAGTTTATTTTAAAAAGTTTGGGAAACCCTATTTAACAATCAATGGACTTATTCAGAAAATGAAAATCTTTTCTCTGATTATGATAATATATTTGTGGTTTACCCTCAAGTTCTTTGTCCTTCAAGGATATTTTGTTTCAAACAATTAATGTGCTATAACTTATGCATCTGTATATGTGTATGTAAGCAGATCGTTTATAGCTATAAATCAAAATGTTGACATATATTTACATATCAAGCAAGCAATGTGTAAACATTTCTCTGGAAAAGTCAGCTAAACCATCATGTGGTTGGTCACATCCTCAACACAAGAAAATATAAAACTCAGTTTGGTTTCTTTACAGAGCTTCTTTGTATGTACAACCTAGGAAAAATGGAAATGATTTTTTGTCAACAATTAGTAAGGAGTTTGACTGAGAAGTCTAATTGCAATACTTGGCCTATACATTATCAGAGCCTTCTTAAAATGTAAAACCTATACTTCAAGTGTAATTGTAGGGGCTATGACGTTGGAAATTGTTTGCAGAGATGGCTTTTATTTATGTAATATGTTCTGGTCTGCTACTTTTATTTTTAAGGGATTTAAAAGAAGTTTTTTTATTCTTAGGGAATATAATCCTAACTGCCTAGTGTAAATGGCTGATTAAGGTCAACAAATTTGTTAGTTTCTTTATACTTCAGGGTTTGTTTATCTAATAACTTCCCAGCACATTCTCATGCTTCTGGTACACTTAGAGGATCACTGCTGTGGGACCTTCCTAATCTAAGTGAATGTCCTAGGCCAGTAGCATTGTGATTACCTGAGAATTAGAATCTCAGGCCCCACCTCATTCAATCAGAGTCTGCATTTTAACAGGAGCTCTGGTTGATTAGTTTGTACATTAAATTCCAGATGCCTTCCTCTAGGCTGCTCCTCAGTCTTATAGGTTATTTATTTCTAAAAAATACCTTTTTTGCATTAGGAGATTTAAATCTTATAATCCTCTCCCAGCTGTAAGTGCTTGTTTGCTCAGCTGAGATAACCCATTCCATTTATGACTTGTACTCAAGACTATCTCTGTTGGTAGAAATGCCTCTGTGGGCATAGGAAAGAGAGAACTCTTGGATTAAAAAAATATATATGCATATATATGTGTATATATATATATACGTATATATATATGTGTGTCTATATATATACGTATATGTATATATATACACATATATACGTGTATATACATATACGTATATATATGTGTATATATATACATATATACGTGTATGTATATACATATATGTGTGTGTGTGTGTGTGTATATATATATAAAATGAAGCACATAGCATACTATGAGAGCTGTATATTTACCTGTAGACATTTTCCTAGTGATTAATCAGAGTTATTGGAGAAACAGAATCAGTAGGATATACAGAGCTATAGCCTAGATGTATACATATATACATAGATTAATTATGAGGGATTGGCTCAGGTGGTGATGGAGGCTAAGCTCCGGCTGGAGGCCCAGGAAAGCCAGTGGTAGAGTTCCATTGCAAACCCGAAGGCCTGAGAACGAGGGGATTCAAGGGTATAAATCCCAGTCTGAGTCCCAAGAAGAACCAAGAATGTGTCTCTGCTCTAGAAGAAAATCTGCCTTTCCTTTGCCTTTTTATTCTATTCAGGATCTCAGAGGATTGGATGATGCCCACACACTTCAGTGAGGGTGATCTTCTGAGTTGTCCAATTCAAATTCTAACCTATTCTGGAAACACCCTCATAGACACACTTAAGAAAAATGTTTACCAGCTATTTGGGTATCCCTTAGCCAGATGTAATTGACACATAAAATTAACCATTTTTATGACACAATGGACTATGTTCAAAGTATTTTTTAGGCACTGTTACTATTACACAGCATTTATTGGACACCTACTTTGTGCAGGGCATTGTTTGAAGCATTTTATGTATATTATCTCTTTATCTCTTATTTCTTCAAGAACTTCATGTTATATTACAAGTAGTGTTATTGTTTCCATATAATAGAATATTTGAGAGTTCTAAAGCAAATGCTGACTTGAGAAAGATAATTGTTAACCACAAGTCTCTGCCTCAGGCCAGTTAGCTCTCTTTATATTTCTATTTCTTTTTTTCCACCTCCTTTAAATAGAGATTGTACAAATTCCCTTATCTGAAACCTTTGGACTATATATGTCTTAGAATTTGGAATAATTTGTACTTCTAGAACCTACTGCAGTACATCACATGTTATATCACATCCCCAGTGGGATTTTGGATACCACCACAAAGTGGAACTTAAGATGTGTAAATGTCTATGCTCAGTGTGGTAATAAAGGCCATAGAGCTTCTAAGGCAGTTCAAGTTCAGGACTGATTTTGCCACTCAATTTATGTAAAAACAATTGTTTATGGTTTTAAGAGCTTTTTGGATTTTAGCATTGCCTGTAACACTGTATGAACCTGTTTTTTTTTTTTTTTTTTTTTCGTTGAGACACAATCTCACTGGAGATTGTTGCCAGGCTGGAGTGCAGTGGCACAATCTAGGCTCACTTCAACTTCCACCTCCTGGGTTCAAGCAATTCCTGCCTCAGCCTCCCGAGTAGCTGGGAATACAGGTGCACAACACCACACCCAGCTAATTTTTGTATTTTTAGTAGGGATGGGGTTTCACCATGTTGGCCAGGATGGTCTTGATCTCTTGAGGAATGTCTAATTTTTAAGTTGCATCCCCCTAACATTTAATTGAGTTGAATTACATGATAGGCTATCAGATGCAGTTGCAGTTTTCCCTAGACTCTAAGGGATTTTATGGCCCTTCTCTCCTGCCTTACCACTCTTCTTGCTCCCAACAGATGCTTATAGGGAACCAGAATATCTATTACTATATGTTTTTTTTTCTTTTTAAACATAGAAATGCTATAGCATTTGAGCATTCTTTGTCAGGATTTAAAACCAAGATGGGGAGGACATTGGACTCATGCTAGGTGCCTTACACATTCCATGCTATCTCGCTTACTCTTTACAATCACACTAATATACTATTGCTCTCATGTTGCAGGTGGAAAAACTGACCTAGTTTACTTTCCTCTGAGCTACACAGTAAGAGCAAGATCCACTATTTAAGCTCAGGTCATTGTCCTTATGTTTGACTCTACTCTAGGACATGTCCATTTTGTATCTGATTCACATAGCTGCTCCTGCTGCCTGCTAAAATAGATGCTGGACTGCAGAGCTCTCTCTTGGGTGGGTATGTCAGTGGTTTTGTTATAT